AATAAAATTTATTGGGGGCGGGGCCTAGGGAGAGGCGTTGGGACCCCGCCTGAGCGCGTGTGAGGTCTCGCTCGACGGGGGCGCGGCTTGAGCCTGCGTGGGCGGGGCCTGTCTGGACATCCGCTTTAGCCGAGCGGTGTGCCCCCGAGCGTTGGCCTCGGGCCTTCTCTAGAACCGTGTGACATGTTCTTCGGATGGAGGAAGTGATCCAGCAGCGGTCCAGTATTTGCTCGAGTGCAGAAAACGCCTGGCTGCCTCTTTTCCTGTAGGAATGCGGCATTGGATGGGTCACTGCTGCAGGGTTACTGGTTTTCCAGGATCCTGTGGGGATGTAGAAATTGTGAATGCTAACAGAAGCTGTGGCACATGGCAACCCAAACTAGAAGTGTTAGTACTCCAAAGGATCATTTAGGAAGTGTGGTCTTGGCCATCTCTGTTTTGTGGCTTGAGCTGTACAGTGCACATGCCTGTTGATGCTTGTGAAATAAGAGATGTTCAAAATCCATCCTGCAGCCACCTCTGTGCAAATATAAGCTAAGGCCAAAGAGCTGGCTTGGCCTGAATTTTTCTAGTTTAATTTGAGAGGCAAGCGGTGTGTTCCAGGTTATTAAGGCAGTTGCAAAAGTAAGCATCTTTCTGGGACTTCTGAAGGGGTTTATGTCTGTGAATAACTGGGGGAAGCAGCCAGTGAAGAGCAAGGACGTCTGTCCTTTAGCAATCTTGTCCTGGAGGGGATCAGTCTTTTCCCAAGCATTGGTATCTTTTCCTTTCTTTTGCCTAGAATATGTAATTTGCTAGTACAGATGTAAGATTGTAATTAGAAAACAGATTGCAGTAGTATGAATCGTTTGGGTAAGGGCAGATGTTGATGCTGCCTCTGCTTCAGTGGCATTGGCAGCATTGCCTTTGCATAAGGTGTTTAGACAACTGCTAATTGCTTTGACTTTTTGTGTCATGCAGCTGGCTTTCTGAGGAAGGGGTATAAGAAGAGGAAAATCCTGCTTTGTTATGAGCTAATAATTAAACAGCTGAGTGTGACAAATAAAAGACACACTATGGTCTGTTGCACTGCTGGAAGGAGTTGCAGCAAATAATGCACATGGGAACTATTTCTAAAGAAAAAGTCACAAGATACTTTTGTACTGGAGATTGCAAAGTACCCTGTCTCCCAGCCCACAGTAAAAAACAAAACAAAACAAAACAATCCATCTACAGCATTTCACTGTTTTTAAAAAAGTCTAGAGATTAGAAGACAGTTTTCTGGCTTGAGAATTAGTCTTAATTATTTTTCTTAATATTTTCTCTCAGGTACTCTCATTCCTTGCTACAGGGCCCAGACAAAATGATAGCATTTTCTATGAAATTCGCATATATGATATTAAGCCATCAAAGATGAAGGAGTTTGTGGAACTGGTCAACAAGTACTTTTACCTTCGCAAAGCTCACTCGGAGCTGGTGGGATTCTGGTCTGCGGAGCTGGGAGCGATGAATAAGGTGGTCCATATTTGGAAGTACGGTACGCTCAAGCATCCCTTTGAGCTGCTCTGCTCTCTCTGTGCTCCCTGTCTCCTAAGAAAGAAGGCAAGGAGAATGTTTACCTGGCTTTTATTTGTTTTTTTTCTTTTTAATTTGCTTTTACTGTAAGAAAGTGTCAAAACAAAATTGTTTCTGTACTGATTACTGAAAAGAACACCAGCAGAGCCTGCCAGGACAATTTTGACATGGTGGGATGAATTACATCTGTTCTTAAACAGCGATCTCTGATCAAAACAGATTTAGTAGAGGAACTGCAGAGAGTGCTTTGTTCGTGGTAAGTATTTTTAACTTGGGGCCAGTTCCTGAACAACAGAATTCTTCGGAATTTCAGATGGAAAAAAAGGTTGAGACCTCTTTAATAAGATAATACATGAAGTGCAGACTGTGTGCAGTCTGTGTATGTTTATATGCATGTATAATTGTTCTCAAATTTTAGTTCAGTGTAACAGTCACTCCCCTAAAACAATGAGTACACAGTTTGTATGCCTAAACTCCTTCTGCAGCTGGACTGAATTGAGATGGGAAGCCACTCCACCAGCTCTAGCTTCCCAAGTGCATGAAACGTTTCATTTCTGCTTCAGCCTTGGGTAGCATCAGGCTTCTTGCAGTATAATCTATTTCTTCTGTTGTTGGAGTTGATGCTGATCTAGAAGGTGCTGGTGAGCCAGGAAAAGCTATACTTATGCAAGAAACTAGGTGTGCTGGCTGTGCTCTTTGTGGAACCCAAGAAAACTTGATACTTGGGTTGTGGAGAGGTGGGAGAGCACACTGGTATAATTTCTTTGTATACCTGCTGCAGTCCAGGGTATGCTGAGGCAGAGAATTTTGTTTCTGAAGTTCTCAGTCTTCTTGTTGAAATCCAGCATGTTCAGAGTACCTGTTTAGAATAAAGAGTCACCTTTTTTGTCCTGGAGGGATGAGGGGACCAGCCATCTGCTGACAGGAATATTATGAGCTTATGTGCATGTATGGTTAATCAATTGTTCTGCATGTCAGAACTTTTTAGCCTTGTCTGTTGTTTCTTGCTCTAACAACCCTCTTATTTTTAATAATCTTTGAGAAAATTTTAAAATGCAAAACTAAGGAAAAACTTGTAATTTTTGTTTCCTAATGGTGTTTACATGTGTAAGGTACAACATCCCTTCTTGATTCATCAGACCCCTGCTTATGTCTTTTTAGTATTTAAAAATAATGGGTATATTTTTCTCTTAGTCTCAAGATACTGATAGTTCTCAAGGTTCTTCCCATTCTCAGATGCTGGATTTTTCTTTTGTATTATTGAAAACTGTCTGCATAAACATATTGCTTAAGATGCCACTGCAGCCTAACCAGTTGAAATTCAGACACTCCTAATTCAGTGCATTTGTTTTTAATTAAGAAAAAAAAAAAAAAAAGAAAATGTTTAGATTTGGGGCATTTAATAACTTTTTATATAGCTGAATAAACATACATTACTCGTACACCTGTAATTTTAAGGTCATTTTATATAAGCTAAAACTCATATTTTTCTTAATTTTGTCTTGGTAGGATAATATTCCTTCTTATTTTCCTTTTCCACTTCATTTCCTTATCTACTGTGCTTTCTTCACATCTCCTTATCCTTGGTAACTGTTGCCACATCCAGTAATCGCTACAGATGCCCGTATATGGATCTCTTAACTACTGTTACTGCTACAACATGTAGTGTATTTTAACTTTTTTTATAAACATTCTTGGAAAATTTGCTTTGGCTTGAAACCATTTGAATCTGAGAATAAAGCAATGATTTCTGCAGAATTTAAAGGAAGCTTACCACATCTGCTTTGAGCTAATATGCTCTTTAAAAATATCAATTTCAAACTTATGTAAGTGCAGCTCACCTTCTTGTAATCGCACATTCTGACTGAGTCTGATGTGACATTAAGTGCATCTATTCATAGTTTTTTTCCTTTTTTTTCTTTCTTACAGATAATTTTGCCCACAGAACATCAGTCCGGCATGCACTAGCCAATGACAAAGAATGGCAAGGAAAATTTATCTCCCCAGCTCTCCCCTTGATAGAAAAGCAGCACAATGAGGTTGCTTATCTGGTACCCTGGTGTCAACTTGGGAAGCCACCAAAAGAAGGGGGTGAGCTTATCTTCTCTTTTGCTGATTAAAGTTACTGATGCTGACGGAGTAACAAAAAATGTCTTAAATGTTAAGCCAAGTATTACATGGTTTATAATCCTTAATGTAACAAGTGCATGTACATACACCCATGTGAAAAAGGGACATAACACTGATGAGGGACAAAGTTTTTAAGAAGGCTTCGACACTAATTTACATCAGTAACTGACTAGAGCCCTGATGATTAAGATTGTAAAGAGTTGTGTGAATTGCTTAAACAAACAGCAAAATGAAAGTGCTGTCTGTAGCAATGGTCAGAGCAGTCATCCCTGACTTGCCTTGTCTATCCACGCTGAAGGTAATGATTATTCTCTTTCACAGAGGTTTTTCTCTTTTCTCAATTTGCTTTGAGGTTACTGCTTCTTTTGCATAATAGTTTTAAGAAAAACAAAAAACCCGCTACTTTTTAAAGATACATGCAATTCAAGCATACTTTGTAACAGTCATAGCTGAGGTGTAGACGTCCTGTCCTTCTCTATTTTAATTCTCTCTGTAGCATATCTGGTATTACTAGTATTGACTGTTCCTTGATTTGTGAACATTTGCAGACTTTGTTGCATGGACATTTGTTTGCCAGTTGTCAAAGGGGTTTATAATATTATAAACCACTTCAGTGCCAGAAAACATAGCCAGTCTTAGAAAAGGCTACCTTGCATTGTTCAATCAGCCATCCAAATCCTGCAAACATGTATATTTGTGATTTATGCAAAGCAGTCTAACTCTCCCCAGATTACCAGGCAACACTGAAAAGTGCTAGGTTGGGCTTTGTGTGAAGCCTTCTTTTCCTCAGGGTTCCAGTACTTATGTTTATACTTGAACTAGCTCCAAGCAGCGAATCGCTTGCCTGTGCTTTTGTGAGCCCCTTGGAAGCTGTGAGCTGTTGCGCAGACTGGGAAGAAGGGGTAGTTTCAGGTATCTGCTGACCCCAAATAGCAGGGATTTGCAGTACTGGTTTCACAGTAAATAATGTTGTGGTTATGACACACTGTTTGAGAACCGGCATATTAATTTCTATGTCCTTCCTTACGGTCATTTTTGCCTTTTCTTCTAGGTGTGTATGAGTGGGTTACTTTCCAGATGAAGCCTGGTGGGCCAGCATTGTGGGGTGAGGCATTTCAAGCTGCAATCAATGCTCACATCAACACAGGGTACACCAAACTGATTGGTGTTTTCCACACAGAGTATGGATTACTTAACACAGGTACTACTCAATTTCTGATATGGACTTCGGCACAGGAGGGGGCAGAGGGAGAGGGGCAAGAACTTGTCCTGGATCAGGATTGGCCATCCTGATGCAAATGTTAGTGTGGATCAGCAAAGTCCTGTAAACAGTCCTTGAACCCAGTTTTGTGTATTGGATTATAGGCTGCAGCCAGGTGCTGTTATCTTAAAAGATTATCATATCTGATGTTAAAGAGTCAAACCTTTTAAAGGCTCAGCAAAGTATTATCACACCACTTACTTGCCTGGAGAATTGTTTCTGCTAACTGCCAGGCATCTAACAGGTGAAGGCAGACTACTGGGACTTCCAGTACAGCTGCCATATTGCAGAATAATAGTACGCAACTGACTTTATTTGTACTTTCTCAGTCCATGTGATTTGGTGGAACGAGAGCCCAGATCATCGGGCGGCTGGAAGGCACAGTGCCCATGAAGATGCCAGAGTTGTTGCAGCTGGTAAGAGATGATGGATCCAGAGAATTCACTAGTGTTATTTGCATGCATGCTTTGAAAAGTATTATTTCTTACTGGATTACTGTCTTAATTAAATATGCATTTAATTTCAGTGCGGGACAGTGTCAGATTCTTGGATTCCCAGCAAAATATGCTCCTGATCCCTCTGCAGTGCTCACCACTGAAGTAAACTTATTCTAAAGGATGTAACTGATGGCAAAAAAGACAAGATGGAACCTGTCAGCAAGTGCCATCACATGGATCATGATACCCTCATGAACTAAGCTGTTTTTCAGTTTACAATAAATGGTTGAAAAATGCTAATTGCCAGCAGTATAAATTGCAAAATTTTGTGCCCTCATAGCATTTGCCTTAAGTATTTTAATATTTGTTTAGGTTCTGAAGTTGACTAGCCCTTTTTCAATTGTGTAGTCAAACTTGGCTGATCTGCATGTGCTTACATTCTTTGAAATACTTTTTGCCAGACTGTTAAAAGCCAAATAAATTTGTACGAAGCATGAATTTTTAGTGTTTACAGCTCGAGCTTACCATTTTTAAACTGAAATGCTAAACCACATTCTTTACATCATTTTGCAGGTCTTGTATTTTGGTCAGCAGCAGTCTTGATAATAGTTGTTTTAGAGACAGTAAACTACAGTGAGTATCAGTGGGGTAGAGGGAATATGGGCTGATAAATCAAACTTGTATTTTTGTGTACAGTGATACAGAGCACCCTCTTCTGCAGTTTAAGGGTCACTATCTGGCAGAGCATTCAGGAAGCTTTTCCACAGGTTAATCACTAGCCTGCAATGACCAACCGATTTCACTTCTCTGCTCAAGTATCTTTGTGCAGTCTGCCTCATGATTACTGCTTCTGTAAAGTGCATTAAGATTTCATGGAAAGCACTAAAAAAACAGCTCTAGGCAATTATGCTATGTCCAAGGTGGGTGAATAGGATCCAGCTGCTGTCGTTATGGGAGGATAACAGGTCCCAGCTCCTATACCCAGGTCTTCATACTATTCTCCCTCCAACAAACCTGTCTTCAGCTTTCTCAGCCTGGAACAAGAACTGCTTCAGAGACCACTGTCTTTTATTTTACAAAGCAACTTTCTAAGGTATAAATGGCTGATAAACCATCACTACCAAGTTGATTCAGAGTATTGCCTTATGGCAGTCAACTCAGAGTACTTATTTTTATAAATAAAAACATGGGCTGAAAAATGGGACTGGGAATTAATAGGACTTCTTTTTTTTTTTCTCCTCCCCATGTGACTGCAAATAATTATTTTATTGTTTACTGGAATAAAAAAAAATAGATGGGTATAATAAAAACAGTATAATATTTTCTAGTAAAACTATTTTCATTGTCACCAGCATTGAGAGTAAAGAATATTCAGGATGAGGTGTGCTTTATTCTGAAGTTTGGTATTTTCTGACAAGAGGTTGATAAATTAACACATTACCCAAAGCTAGCTGGACACTAGATTAAAACAGAAGACCCAGGAGATTTTAATTGGCTTCCTGTCACAGGATGAATTTTCCTGATAAGTGTAAACTTGAATTGGGTTGGATTCTGGAACTAATTGGTTGATAGCGGGACTACAGGAAGTAGCAGACAAAATTTTAACATTAGTTTTCCTTTGAGCAATAGGATCACTATTCTGCTTTCATTTGTAAACTCCTGTTCAAAATAAACCTAGTATTAACTTGAGTGATCTTCCATTAATTTGATATTAGCTAAGGATTAGCTAATTTTAGAGTATTTCAGAGTCTTTATACTCAAACATAACATTTTGCCTTGTTAGTGAAAACAGGTATAGGGTGTTTTTAGCAAAGAGGAAGAACAATTACCAATAGTTGCAAATTGCCATGTCTCTGTAAGGGAAATATTCAGACACAGGACCTGACTTGGGATTTAAATATCCAGATAAATTTGTCAGGGTCTTCAGCTGGATTTGACAGCTACACCAATCACTTTTTTCAGGCTTTGCTGTAGATCTTTTTGTTTACTAACTTTCAAAGCTTAAAGTAGCACTTGCCTTTCAAATCTTGTGCCACCTCAGTTGCCTGGAAATAGTATGTGCCCTACCCTAATTTGTAGAGATACTGGAACTTCCTTTTACATTATGCATCAAATTTCATAATGAAACAAAACTGGGCAAAACAAGAGCTTCCAACAGCCTTACTCAAAAGAACATATGCAAAAATGACACTTCGAGATCAATGGTGCCATAAGAGCTTTATTTTTTTACTTAATACAAGGCAATTAGAGTGCCTTTTAATACTTCACATAACAGTTATTAGCAAATACAAATATATATACCTTTTTTTTTTTTTGCTTTTAATGAAAATGTCCATTTAAGGATTTAACTTAGGAATTTCAGTTGAGAAATCTCTCTAGATTTTTGCAAAGTTAACATATTCCAGTGCAAAAATAGATCCCATTACAGATAGCATAAAGTGCTTGGAATGAAGGACGAACTATATATTTAGGAGGGAAGGATAAGCACAAAGTGATGGTTTAACCATGGGGAATTACAACAACTCCTTATCAAAATACAATGTACTACAAAGAGGGATGCAACATGTCAATAGTAATAAAGTTTAAAATAAGTTAACACCTCAGTGCAGTTTCATTATTGAGTGGTTCATATACTGTATGTGATTCGAGTGATTTTTTTTCCCCAACACACACTTAGAAAAGTAAATCAGTGGGTGCCTGAACTTATTCCATGACAAATCTTCATGTGAGTTGCATTATGCTGTCTGTTCACTACAAACAAGGCAGATCAGAACTGTGAAACAGTTAATATCCATGTTTACTGTAACATTCTGTCACAGAGAGCAGGCTCTGTATGAGCATGACAGTCACAGGGCAATAGGAATAAATAATCTCTTTTTGGTGGGCTCAGGAAAAAGGACTATGATGTAACTGTTGTTTCCTGCTAAATTAATCATTACAAGAGCAGTTAAGGACCAAACCACAGCCCTTTCAGGACCAGATCTAAATCCTCCTAGAACTTGTTCAAATTCTACATGCACTAGTACGGTGCAGTGCAAAACTTAAGCCCTTCACTTCAGTGATTTAATGCTGACTTATAATAGTGATTTTTAGCAGTGGTTAGGCCTTCAACACATGCTACCTGTTTCAGTGATACTGTGACATACCTGCAGCCTGTTATAGAGAAGTCATGGCTGTAGCTCAGCTGCTTTGTAATTTTTCTGCACCTGGAAGTCTAGTGTATTCATCACCCTGTAACTCATCCCCATAGGATGATGATGCCATGAAGGTGCACAAAGCATGTTTTAAGTGAGGTATACCAATCCCCATTACACTCCTTTCTTAATCCCCTTAGCAATGTATTAAACATTTTTTAAAAAAAAAAAAAAAAAAGGTATGAAAAAGGCACTTCAGCAGAGCATGTAGTAAGCTCTTACTTTATCCCAAGGCAGGACATGGCAGGGACTGGGAACTTGTGCTAAATATTTAACTGTTTTAAAATGCTGAATTGGTCAGTGTTACCAAGTATACCTGGAAATACGTAATCAACCTTCTTCAAAGTCACGTCAGCCTCTTCACTGTCTGTTGGGCTGCTATGGGCATTCACAGAAGAAAACGGTGCATGATTGATTCATGGTGGAGTAGCATCAATAATTAGCACAGAACCTACATGGGTGTGTAAAGTGGAGGCATGACATACAGAAATGGCCCAGGAACTGCACTTGGATTCAAACCACATTACTGAACCTATTTCTGAATGTAAAAGCATGACAGAGGGGCTCATAAGTGTATTAATGAAAGCATACTCTTCCATGGCTATTGTACAGTGTGAATGAGAATTGCTTGTTCTTATTATATAACATCCCCTCTAACATCATTCTGACTTTCGAAAACTTTAAAAATTAATGGCTGGTGTAACTGTAGCACTACTCTTCTGAACTATCTTGTTCTTCAAGGGGATTTTTACTGAAGCAGTTTGTCACATGTATAACAAGGGTGTACTCTCCAGTTAGGGATCACCTAATGACTGAAACTACACTGCACAACAGAAGCAGAAACTTACATATTAATCTAATGTTACACTAGTCTCCAAACAGGAAAATTTCAGGTAAACAACTTGCAGTAATTGCAGATAACAGCTCATTGCTAGAGTCTGGAACTTGGTCAGATCATGAATGTAGCTATCGCCAAACAGAATGAGAGCAGAGCATTGCAGGCATAATGTAAAGAAATACTGCGGCTACAAAGATCAGCTGAAAGTACTTTCAATCCATAATTATGCTACCTATTTAAAAAGTCATAAATAATACTGTTTAAAAAAACCCTACATCTCATTTCTAGTTTTATCTGACAAAGCCAGAAATGGCAACATGCTTAAGCTAAGCAGTAATTTCAGATGATGGGTACCTTTCTGGTGCAAAGCAGGGGTTAAACAGCAGATAATGTGAGTGACATCTCATGATTTAGAATTTGCTCTTGGCATTAGCAGCTTGTACAACTACTGAGTTTGCTGCTGTGGTCCAAATCCTAGGTCTGCTTCTCGCCCACTTCCTCCTACTAAGTGTTCACGCAGCTGCTGCAGTACCTCAAAGGAGCAGGAGAGTACTTAACTACACAAAAACCTAGTCAATAGTAGGTTATTGGTTGTGATGCTGCTGGGTCAACACTGTGCATTTGCAGGGTCCACAGTTCTGCATATCACCACTTCCTGATGGACATGTATATGGATATGATGGCCTGTCTCTTGCCATCCCATCTGCACAGTACTGCTTTATGGCCCTGTATTTGCCACCAAATGACCTACACCAGTCTACGAACAGCAGCTGATCAGGTAAGTTTTCACAACCTAACACTACAACACTGGTGGTGACTTTTCTTGCTACTGACTCTCTTGGTGCATTCATTGCCAGCAATGGATCTAGCACCAGGAAATTCCCACTCCTAACATGAATGTTTTAAAGACTAAAACATGCATGTCTAAAGTATCTACAACCAACCACTGGCCATGATTCCTCAACAAACTATTTTTGCCACCCTAGTAAAAACATACTGTACAGGACAATATACAGTATGGCTGAAAGCCCGCAGCATCTAGTGGATGCTTTACCACAGCTTCAGAGTTATACTGTAATGAGCTAAGTTCAAGTCTTTCACTTGAGAACAGTACAAAGACGACTCCATGAGGCACTGCCCCTGTAAAGGAATTTTGTTTTCCATTGCATTGAACTGCATTGCATTGAATGGTTATCAGTAGAGTGTCCAGTTTCTCTTCCTCTGGCTTCTTCTTTGGGAGTATCTTATCCCAGGAAAAGGAATTTTGCATTCTGCTCACAATTTCTTGGTTAAATTGGCTCACACGCAACTTTCTTTTACCTTCTCATCTTGCAGAAAGGAATTAAGGATTGCAATGTCTACCACAGTCTGGTTTTTGTGCAATGACAGGTCCTTAGTGTGGTCATCATCGCTTTGGTCCTTGGCAAAATTTACAAATACCTATAAGAAAAAAGGCCGTGTCACACATCACCCCAGATTTTCATTGACTCAAGGCATTTTATACACTGAGCTTCATGAAGTAGTCCTGGGATTCAGTACTCTACTTTGCTGAAATGCCCTTAAAAGACAGATCCAGTAAATTGGTGGATTTATTCCTACCTCTGCACAAAGAAGCTTTTGACAGACAGACTACAAAAAACTTACTTGGTCAAGTGTGGTCTGAGAAACGGAGTAGTCTTCTATGTGGAGTCTCTTTTTGTTCTGGGAGAGAATACTGAATATTCTGGCCAGGGAGGATGGTGAAGATGGAAGCTGGTACTGCAGCATATTCCGATGCTTCTCCTTCAGGACACTTCCAGGGAAGGCATGCCCAAAGAACTCCTCAACAGGCTTAAGATCTGGGTTTGCCCCTGCAATTCTCACCACTATGGTGTAACCATCTCCAAACCTGTGAAAAAGAGGGCCAGCACAGGAGTTAAGTACCTCTGAAACAACTGCAGTTTAAAATCCAGCAGCATTTCCCACAGCCAGAATAGCAATGGGAATGCTGCACAGGGAATTAAGTTTGAGTGCATCTCTCTCAAAATGCAGACAACTCTGTGGTCCATGTGAAAAGAAAATAGCTACCTGTTCTTTAGATGCTGAACACTGCCCAAACACCTGAATCGCCCATTGACCATTATCGCCATTCGAGTGCACAGGGCTTCACATTCTTCCATGCTGTAGGAGAAGTAACTTCATTAGCACTGCAAACAGCAGTGAAGGGGGC